AAGAGAGCAGGGCCTAAATCACTGGAATAAGGGAGCACAGGCCCAAAATAAATTTGAAATGAGAGCAGGGCCAAACTAAATTTAAAATAAGGGAGCGCAGGGCCAAGATCACTGATATAAGGGAGCACAGGGCCAAAATAAATTTGAAACATGAGCGGGGCCAAAATCACTGACATAAGAGAGCAGGGCCAAATTAAATTTGAAATAAGAGAGCAAAGCCAAAATCACTGATATAAGGGAGCACAGGACCACAATATATTTGAAATAAAAGAGCTCGGGGCCAAATTAAATTTGAAATATGTGAGCGCAAGGCCAAAATCACTGAGGTAAGGGAGCATAGTGCCAAAATAAATGTGAAATAAGAGAGCTCAGGGCCAAAATAAAATTGAAATAAGTGAGTGCAAGGCCAAAATCACTAGCATAAGGGAGCACAGGGCCAAAATAAATGTGAAATAAGAGCGCAAGGCCAAAATCACTGATGTAAGGCAGCACAGGGCCAAAATAAATTTGAAATAAGAGCAGGACCAAGATCACAGACATAGGGAACACAGGGCCAAAATGAATTTGATATAAGAGAGCAGGGCCAAAAATCACTGATGTAAGGGAGCACAGGACCAAAATAGATTTGAAATAAGAGAGCTCAGGTCCAAAATAAATTTGAAATAAGAGCAGGACCAAGATCACTGAATTAAGGGAGCATAGGACCAAAATAAATATGAAATAAGAGCGCAAGGCCAAAATCACTGATGTAAGGGAGCACAGGGCCAAAATGAATTTGAAATAAGAGAGCGCAGGGCCAAAATAAATTTGAAATAAGGGCAGGACCAAAATCACAGACATAGGGAGCACAGGGCCAAAATAAATTTGAAATAAGAAAGCAGGGCCAAAATCACTGACATAAGGGAGCATGAGGCCAAAATAAATGTGAAATAAGTGAGCAGGGCCAAAATCACTGACATAAGGAGCACAGGGTCAAAATAAATTTGAAATAAGAAAGCAGGGCCAAAATCACTCTTGTAAGGGAGCACAAGGCTAAAATAAATTTGAAATAAGAGAGCAGGGCCAAAATAATTTTGAGATAAGAGAGCGCAAGGGCAAAATCACTGACATAAGGGAGCACAGGGCCAAAATAAATTTGAAATAAGTGAGCAGGGCCAAAATCACTGACATAAGGGAGCACAGGGCCAAAATAAATTTGGAATAAGAGAGCAGGGCCAAAATCACTAACCTAAGGGAACACGGGGCAAAATAGATGTGAAATAGGAGCACAAGGCCAAAATCACTGACATAAGGGAGCACAGGGCCAAAATAAATTTGAAATAAGAGAGCAGGGCCAAAATCACTGACATAAGGGAGCACAGGGCCAAAATAATTTTGAGATAAGAGAGCGCAAGGGCAAAATCACTGACATAAGCTAGCACAGGGCCAAAATAAATTTGACATTGCGAAAATAAATTGTAAATAAGAGAGCAGGGCCAAAATCACGTACATAAGGGAGCAAAGGGCCAAAGTAGAGTTGAAATAAAGAGAGCAGAGCCAAAATCACTCTGACGTAAGGGAGCGCGGGGTCAAATCCAATCCAAAATAAGCAGGCGCTGGCCCCCCAAAACTAAAACCAACCCCCCTCGTCTCACCTTCACCTCAAACTTCTTGGAGAAGAGGACGTCCTTGATCTTCGTCTCGTCATTTTCCGAGCCTGTCGAGATGGTCAGCATGTCGATCTTGGTCATGTTGGCGGCCATGAGGATGGAGGAAAGCGGTGCGCACGTGACCCAGATGCGCCTCCCGCGTTCCTCGTCCTTTGGCGTGGGGGGGTGGG